CGTGTTGGGAGGCGGGGGACCAGCCTGTCCCAGCGGGAGTGGAGGAAGGCCGAGCACTGACCTCGCTGTGAGCACGGGTTTGCAGGACAGCCTTGGTGCCACAGGCCGCAGAGAGGGTCCACCCCAGGAGGCCCTCCATGGAACTCGGTGCCTCTCTGCAGGGAGGGTCCAGGAGCCTCATGTCAACAGATCATGCCACGTGCTTGACCCCCCCACACACGCCAGCAGCACCCCGTTACAGACTATGCAGATGGGGAGACGCAGATGCTTAGTCTGGGACTGGGCCCAGGGCTCGGTGCTAGCCTGGGCTCTCCCCTGCACCTCTCTGTGGCCCTCGGCAACTCCCACCTGGCCCACGGCACCCATTGATCATTGCATCCCAGAGCCCTTGGCGACTCCCACCTGGCCCACGACACCCAGTGGTCATTGCATCCCAGAGCCTTCAGTGGCTCCCACCTGGCCCACGGCACACACTGGTCACTGCATCCCAGAGCCCTCGGCGACTCCTACCTGGCCCACGAGACCCAGTGGTCATTGCATCCCAGAGCCTTCAGTGGCTCCCACCTGGCCCACGGCACACACTGGTCACTGCATCCCAGAGCCCTCGGCGGCTCCCACTGGCCCACGGCACCCAGCTGTTCCATCCCACATCCTCCTCAGTGACTCCCGCCCCAGCCCATGGCACCTGGCAGTCATTCCTCGCCTGCTCCTCTCACGGCCAAAAATGTCACCACCTCCGCCCTCACCAGCACCGTGCCATGACTCACAGTTTCGCCCATGGCCAGTCCCTTCATGTGGCCTGTGGCACGGCAGGAGGACGGGCCCAGCCTGGGGGGTCAGGCTCAGTCTGCTGCCAACAACGTGTCCAGGAAATCACTTTGCTTCTCTGCACATCAAGCTTTTTCTTTCACCTGTGAGAAGTTTAAAATACCATCTTGGAGGGTTTTTCTGAGAAATGAGATGTGTACAGAGTTCTAGTACTTTCTTAGTTTTGTACTTTTAGGTTATCCACAGGGAGTGTGAACTCACCGGAGAGAGGCAGAGAGAGGGAAAGTGAGAGATCACCCCCAGGGGATGCTCATGTCACAATCCCTTCTCCTCCATTCTCCTCCTGAGATTCTGGGCGCGCGCGCGCGCGCACACACACACACACGCACACGCACACGCACCCACACACACGGCACGATTTTCGAGCTGCCAGGTCTGGAACTTGAACTGCGAACAGCCACGTGGGAGTCCGCTGTAAGCATCATGCCACCTGCCGGCCCCTAAAGTTCCAGTATTAGTCTGGGTTCTCCAAAGAAAGCGAGCCAAGAGGACACATGCACACGCATGAGGGCCTCAAAAAGTTCGTGGAAAATGCCTATTATGGAAAAAACGACGCATGGATTTCAAAATTCTTTGCACCAAAATAAATTTGAGGCAGGGAGAAGGGAAAGGCAGGGAGCCTAATCCCATTAAAGACACAGCCCCGAGGTCTGCTTGCCAGCCATTGGCCAGAACCTGGTCACACAGTCACACACGGCTAGGACAGCCGGGCAGTGTCTTTAGCTGGGTGGCCATGCCAAGGCTTCAGCTACAGAGAGAGGAGCTGGGTGGGGAGAGAATCGACCACGGCCGTTGCCACGTGCAAAGCCAAGGAGACGGGAGTGAGCTTGCGTGTTTGCAGATCTGTGAGTGGTTTGTGGCGTGACCGGAATAGCAGGGGTGCCGCTGCCAGGGAGGCTGGGTCCTGAGCATCACACCAAGGCATGTGGCGCGTGTTCCTCACGAACTGCGATCGTGCACAGGTCCTGAGCACGGGCTGGCCCAGGCCGTGCCTGGGGGTGTCCGGGGTGGGAGAGCGGGGAGGAAGGGGTGAGTCTGCAGGTAGAGGGGCCGCCTTGCAGGCCAGAGCCGCAGTCGCGGCTGAGGAAGGCTTCTGTCTCTGTTGGTGAGCAGGGAAGCAGTTCCAGAACTTCTCTGCTGAACAGTAACCCTTTCTGACTTCTCCCCTCAGACTGTTCTACGGATCGTGGTGCTTGGGATCTGGGACTACATCGAAAACAAAATAGAGGTAAAAACCCAGGCCCAGCCCCGCTCCAGCCCAAGCACCCCGGACACTGGGAACCATCCCTGTCCCTCCCTCCCAGGGTTAGGCCAGCGTCTTCCCACCTTTGACCAGGAATCTCTTCAGCTGTGCGGGCCAGGGTGTAGGCCAGACAGGGTCCCACACAACTTACAGCACAGGGACATTCTGAAAACCTTGATGTCTACAGTATTTAAGCAGCTATTATTTTTTTTTTTTTTTTTTTTGGGGGGGTTTTTTTTTTTTTTTTTTTTCGCTATAGGGCGCGTGCGCTCGCCAGACAGACAGAGAGAGACATAGAGACAGAAAGCGAGAAATCACCCCCCAGGGGGGATGGTCACGCCGCAATCCCTTCTCCTCCATTCTCCTCTCGGGATCTTGGGCACGTACGCACACGTGCCCGGCGTGAGTTTTAAGCCACCGGGTCCGGGACACGAACCGCGGTCGACTACGTGGGAGTCCAGCGACATAGCCATTACGCTAACTGCTGGTTCCCTAAGCAGCTATTCTTGAACCAAGTCAGATTTTTGTGTGTGTTTTTCTGTTTCTTCTTTAGAGATTATTGCTATTAGGTGCATGTGTTTGCCAGAGAGAAAGAGACAGAAAGTAAGAACTCAGCCCACCAGGAAGATGGCCACACCATAATCCCTACTCCTCCGACATAGTCCTGGGATCTTGGGCACGCACGCACACACACATGCACACGCACCCAGTGTGAATTTTAAGCCGCCGGGTCCGGGACTTGAACCATGACCAGCTATGTGGGAGTCCAACAACATAAGCACTACACCATCTGCTGGCCTCTCAAATCAAATGTGTTTTAAGAACAAATAGATGCACTATGAAATGGCCCAGTGGCAGGGAGCTGAGCAGGAACCATCCGAGGGTCTGCCTGGTGCCCACTCTGTGTAGAAGGGGCATGCGGCATGACAGGCAGGACGGGGCGCGGGGCAGCCTGGCGGGCCTGGTGGTTCTGTGTGCCCAGGTGGAGGCAAGGCGCTCAGTGTCTGCTGCCCTCCCCTGCCTCCCCTCTGTGCACCCTCTTGGGCCCCGGGCTGGGGTCAGCTCAGGCCAAGACAGGGCAGGTGGGTCGGGGCTCCGCTCACTCAGGCTGCTGGGCCCCTTCTCCTAGCCCTGCCTGGCAGGTAAGAGGAGAAGAGGGCCCAGGACTCCTGTTCCCCATGGAACAAGGCTCCGTGCCTGACCCAGCCCCCATCCCCACCCTGCCCACGAGGCTGGTGCAGGGGAGCTCGACCCCTGACCTGGACACAATGCCAGCCCCATCCTGAGAAGGGAACAGACAGACCAGGGCCTCTGGACTAAGGGCCGTGGATGGGCCGAGGTGGCCTGGAGCACGACTCGGAGCAGGGAGGCCTGGCTCTGCGTTTGGGAGGGGCCTTCTGTTGGGCACAGCACCCTGCAGGCGTTGGCCGGCACCAGATCTGGCCTGACTGGTCTGTCCCGGCGCGTGGCTCGGCCCAGGGCTCAGGGCTCAGGGCTCAGGGCTCAGGGCTCAGGGCTCTGACGCCGCCTCCTCTCGCAGGTTTTTGACGGGGCTGTGATCATCCTGTCCCTGGCCCCCATGGTGGCGTCCACCGTGGCCAACGGGCCCAGGAGCCCCTGGGACGCCATCAGCCTCATCATCATGCTTCGTATCTGGCGGGTGAAGAGGGTCATTGACGGTGAGTGGCCAGAGGGGTCGTGGGGCGGGCGGGCGGTACGGGGCGGCCAGCTGTGGGAGGACAGAGACTGGAGTGGCCAGCCTGCAGCAGGGGGAGGCCTCGGACCAGGTCCTCCCCGCTCCTTCACACCACGTGATGGGGAACCAGCCACGTCACATGGGTAGCCTGTGTGTACACATGTTCTCCCACTGCCCGCGGGAGGCCTAGACCGCGTACCAGGTGCCAGCCCCACACGAGAAGCCATGGCAGGGCCTGCCGTTCGGTGAAGTGCAGCTTTGTTTTGGAGAGATTTTTGCTATAGGATGTGTGCACTCACCAGACAGAGACGGAAATTCAGAAACCACCCCAGGGATGGCCACGCTGTAGTCCCTTCTCTTGGGGTTGTGGGTGCGCACGCACACGTCCTCAGCATGAGTTTCAAGCCACCAGGTCCGGGACTCAAACCATGACCAGCCATGCGGGAGTCCAGTGCCTTAACCGCTACACCGCCTGCTGGCCCTGAAGAGCAGCTTCTTAACCCGGTGCCTACTGTTGCCCTGATGGCTCCAGGCCCCCCCGGCTCTGTCCAGGCTGCTGTCCCGGGCCTTGCATCCTACCTGTCCACCAAGGACAAGCGGCTGTCCCCCTCCCAGCCCGTCAGCCTCAAATAGCCAGACGAAGTTTCTGCGGCGCTGTGCGCTCAGGCCGGCCCGAGTGCCACTCACGGAGAGTGACGCACATGGCATCTCTGGTGTCTGGCGTCCCCACTCCTGCTGGGCTGTCCCCTCGGCTGCCCACCCTCCCACCCTCGCCTGGAGAGCCATGCCCTGTCCTGGAAGCTCAAACCTGCTGGGGTAGTGACAGCCCCAGGCCTCATCTCTGCAGGCCCCTCCCAACACAGCCTTCCTACCTGCAGGGCCCTCCAGGCAGAGGCCGGTGTCACCAAGACCCCCTCCAGGCCCAGGGACTGCTGCTGTCCCCAGAGGAGGGGGCCTGAAGTCTGGCAGGGATACTGGGAGGGGAAGCCCAGAGGATGGGGACACAGGGAGGGGTGTCCCTGTGCAACCAGGCCCAAACTTCCCAGATGGCTGGCCTGCCTCGCCAAGGGAGGCCTCCAGGAGCGACCAGAGGTGGCACTGAGGACAGTCCCCGAGCTTTTCCCCCTTTTACAGCAAAGCCTTCTTCTGCAAAATTGTCCCCAGTGTGTCGGACAGACAGGGGAGCTGCTCTGGTTGGCTTGGAGTGAGGCCAGAGCCATTTCCTTGCCCTGGGGTACCTCTAAGAGCCAGGCCTTTGGGAGCGTAGCTCACCACCACTGGGGTAGACGTTAAGGTCTTCTCTAGCTCTGAGTTTTTGACAGAGGGCACGTGCACTCGTGGGGGTGGGGTGGGGGGAACCCTGCAATCCTTTCTCCTCGTCTCCTCTCGGGATGGGCACGTACACCCCTGTGTCCCGGCGTGAG